AAGCAACAGAGCCAATATTCATTAACTGGAAAATATGGTAGACACAATTAAAACTAAACTTAAAACTAATAGTAGACTATACTAACTATACTTGACTTATACTATAATAATATTAATTAATATTTTATTTTTTAAATAATAAATTTGTTGGCTTGGTTTTAGACTAAACAAGCAACACCAGTAACAGTAACAGTCATCAAGAATCTAAAAAAAATATTTATCTTGTAGGGTTTTTAAGTAGATGAGATTTTAAGTAGTAAAATAAAAAATAAAGACCATTACCTCTCCATTTTGAAATGTTGGTTTAAAGGAGTCAGAGCTTTTAGTTATTAAATCGGTCGTATCTTGTTTATCCGCCATGTTTATACAAAAAAATCACGTGATAAATGTGATCAAGTGAGTAAATATATAAAAAACAAACGTTTCCGATAGCAGAACAAATTATGAATTATAAATGAAAATTTACAAATACGGACATACAAATTTTTAATACATTCTGCCAAATAAAATAATGTTATTTTTTATTTTTGATAAATGAATAATTTTTTAATAAATATGTATTCCTTTATTTAATTGTTTTGACAGTATAATAAAGACTTTTATACTTATTACATTCTGTATCCAGCTTTAGCGGGGAAGCAAGGGCTAAACTATATACATGTATGTTATATAATTAAATCATTTGATAAATTTTGATTATTTTGGTTTGTAACTGGCAAGACCTTGTCCTCATTAGTTAATATTCCAGTAAAACTGGGGGGGGGGGGGGGGGGGGTTTTTTTTGAATTGGGAAGGGGGGATTTTTTTTTTTTTGGGGGGGGGGGGGNAAGAAAAAAAGGTAGAGAAACACTGGACTATACTAATTTCTAGTGGTGGTTCTAAATAAAAAAAATTCAGACCACTGACCCTTTGGTTCCATAAGCATATTATCCTTTCGACTTTACGTCAATTTCGGTTAAGGGTGGGTGTGTTTAAGAAAGTGTGACAATGGGTGAGGGTATGTATCATGTGTGGCGTCACATCTTTTTTTTATTTTTTATCATACATAAAAAAAACTCAAATTGTCAGTGATGTTAAACTTTCTCTTGTGGTGGCTGTATTCTGACAAAAGATTTCACTTTTATAAAAATTAAAATTTTAACATTTTTAGTTTAAAATTTAACTACTTTTTTTTGGTGTTATTATTTTTTTTTAAACATTTTTTTTTTTTAGTTTGATAGTTTGACGTAGTTTAGGGTTTCTGGGGGTCTGGGGTTTTAGACATATTATGACAAAGAGGAGGGGGGGGTATCAAAAAATTGCGCGAGATACTCTATGGACGGCCTCTTACCCATTCACCTTCTTATCATCATGCAGTGATGCATTTTAACGTGCATGAAATAAGTGTTTGATCATTACACTTATTTAGCACCAAAAAAAGAGAGATGCTGGTGTAAGTTCACCTTGATGAGAATATGCAAATCCTTAAAATTGGTTGCAGCTATTTATTTGTTTAAACCACCTCCTCAGTGTATGAATTTTAAAAATCGATCCAAAAATAGATGTGCTGTCATTTCGCCCCCCCCCCCCAACCACCAAAAAAAAAAAAAATTTAAAAAAAATAACTTTACCGCAAGGCTGCGGGTTGTTTGTGTGTTTCGGTGTTATTTTAGCTGCAACAGAAATCTGTTGTTACTTTCATCTTTCATACATTTAAATGGTTGACTGGGTAGCTTCATGCAATATAAACTCTCCCATATAGCGCATTTATTTCTTATCAACGACATTCTCTTTTGCTCTAAGCTACACTTAAAGATGGACAAATTGGAGACATATTTTTGGATATCATAAATGTCGCTTAAGTCATACCGGTATTAGGTATTTTCATTTTTAAATTTTAGAGATTATAGAAGGTTTTTGTTTGTTGTGCATATAATAATCACCACGTTTCTTTTCTAAGTTCTACGGTTCTATTTGGAATTTCAGAATCAACTTTTCAGAATTTCAGAATCACATCTTTTAAAATGTATTACGTTTTGATCAAGACTTAGCGAAAAAATTCGGAGGGATTGCTAGACAGCAAGTTTCTCAGTATACAACAATCTCTTGTGCACTCCAATAAGTAGTCCTATGGTACGTAATTAATGTCATCCGTCAGAGCTCGTTTCTTTTTCATTTTAAAAAAAAAAAAAAGCTCCAAAGTTTACCACAAAAAAACCCTTCTTCAAAGACATGATTATCATTAGTGGTGCCAATGGCATAGCTAGGGTTGGTTTCACCACTGCGGTAAACTCATGGTGTCACCCCCACCCTTGACTTTCAGGATGGATCTCTTCTTGTTCAAATAAGTCCACAGTATAACAATGACAAGAACAAAAACAAATTAATTGCAGATTGGGGGTAAATGTATTTAAGAACTATAACAACGTAAAGTTATAGTTATATTTACATTAAATTTACTCTATTTCAAATTTTCCTTTTCTTGCCTTTAAAGCTGCAAACCTGTCAATCTCTTGATCAAAATGCATATCACTTTCAATTTATAGTGGTGTTAGATCATAAAGCCTTGACTGTCCCGTGGTGGATCGTAAATAGTTCTTTGATACGCCTTAGTTTTGAAAAGCCCCGCTCTCATGAAGCCACAGACATACAGATTGTAAGAAACAATTGAAAGCTTAGCGATAGTATTGGAAGAGATTTTAGGAAGTACCATTCAGCTATCAAATTCGAAACATCAAATACTGGGAATTTTATGACTTTTTTGAAATTCAATATCAGCTGCCTTTAGGTGTCTTCTAAGTCTTGGTATTTCTTTTAAAAGTTCATCTTCTTATAACTCATCATAGAAAGAGGTTAAGAAACTCTTCTTCGCTTGCTGATAATAGACTCTTGGGTTGAAAAGCTTCAAACATATCTGCTACTTCCTTGATCGCTGATGATCTTATCACCAGTTCAGAATTAAAGCGATAAATACACTCAAGCAACTCCTTACTGGTTTCTTCTCGCAAAGAAAGTCCAGCATCTATTGATTGTTCTCCTGCCATTTTTTATTTAAACTCTAAACTTCTCTCCACCGAAATTCCCTACTGGTCTAATTTTTAAAAATGCCATTTCAATAGCATGTTCCACCAAGTGACAGCGCTTCTTTTGCAGAAACAATCTTAAGACCTTTAGGTTGGTCACCACTTTTTCAAGAGTAAAGCTTTTAGTCTGCAGATACTGCTGTGTAAGATTAACCTCCTCAAGAAGATCAGCTCAAAAAATGTAAACTCACAGACAGCATCGGATCACATAGAGCTTCAATCGCCGCCACACATTATTCAAATTTATCTTTTACTGTTTTAACAGCAGCATGATGAGCCCTCCAACCTGTTGTTGACTTTCTTTTTACCGACATTTCAGAATGATAAAGCCACCCGTCGATGAGTGGATGCCCAAATAAGCAAAATATTCTCTCAAGAGTACCGAAAAATGTAATACATGAAGCATTTTCGGCAAGCGTTTCCCCTACCGTTTCCGAAAGTTACCGAACACTTAAATCAGCGTTTAATCATGGTCAGAATGGTCTTTTTTTCTGACCTGATATAGGTCACCTCAGTTCTGACGTATTAACCTTGAACTTTTAATAAAGTACGCATTGGGATTGGTTAAAAGTGTGGATAATGTACGTGCGATCGATTATCGTTTTATGACATTCGGTTAGACCGAGCAGTGTGTGCTCTGTAAATATGCACTTTTTCAATTTTGTGTCACCCCCCTTGAGATGGTGTCATCCGGTGCGGTCCGCACCCCTCACCCCACTGAGTAGCGCAAAAGCTCATGTAGGGCACTGGCCTGCTCCATCACATACTTCCATTCGGATCGATCCATGGCTTTCTGCCACCATGCACGGACCACAGCTGATGCAAGTCCTTTTCTAACTCGTCAATCCATCTCAGTCTTGGTCGACTGGTGAGAATAATATATCACTTTTGCTGCTCTACAAAGCAACGCGACCCTTGGGCAAAGGAAAGCACCCCCATACCTGTCTAATGTAATCAAGTAATGTTAGGAAAGTTTAATTGGCCCATGTTGTGTTATGATCAGAGTTTCTTAAAGACAATTGAAACAAACGAGGGGGCCATACCAGATATACGGGGTTGGGGTTAAGTGGTAGGTATCTATCAGCACCAAAATTATGCATCATCACTCCCAGGGCCAGATCTGAACCCGGGGACCAAGCGATACATTAATATAAATTCCTTCCGGTTGTGGCGCCCCCGGTTGTGGATTAATTTCTCCCCTGGAATCTAGGCCTATATGGTCCACTTCTTGCAAACCAAACAAACTAAATGAAATCATATTATTTATTTTCAACTGAAGAAAATCATTTTAATTAATAATCTCATGTGCTTTTGGTAGATATGAGGAGAAATTTTTTTTATGAGGGAAGTGGAACATGTATACAATTTTTTAATATATTTTTTTACAGTGGACACGCTATTATTTTTCTTTATTTATCTTATCTTGTCAATCACCAAGACAAAGCTAGAAAATACTTAATAGATGAGCAGAAACTGGAGAACCCGCTAAATACCTTAATGGGGGACTGCACTATATGTTTCAGCTAACGGCCTTTTGCAGCAATCAATACAAAACAAAAAAACGAATTATTTGAAATAGACAAACTTCCTTTATTTCCGCGGATTCATTGGAAATAACCGAAAAACATGTCCCAAAAGAAGAGCTTTAGACTTCAGGGGACCCAAAATGATACAAAATAATAAGAAAAGTCCTTGTAATTCCTTCATGCATTTGAAAGTCCCTAAATGAGAAAGTTTCGAATGAATTTTTATTAAAGTGCACTTTGTTAAAGACCATAATTATAATTTATAATTTCAGAAATGGTACCTTGAAAATATGCATCATTATTCTTCTCATTAAAGAACTAACTGTTTACGTAACTAAAATCATTAAAAATTTATTTCCTTTTCAAACCGGTGTGCTAAAAAAGGCTGGGAAAGCATTAAGTCCGAAAGACAAATTTCCGTTATTCCCGCGGATTCATTGGAAATAACCGTAAAATGGGTCCCAAAAGACGAGCTGTAGACTCCAGTGGGACCCAAAATGATACAAAAAAGGAGAAAAACCCTGAAGCTGATCATGAATTATTCCTTCAAGCATTTGAAAGTAGGTTTTTTGGTTATTTTTCATAAATAGATACGTCAAAGATGGTCAATGTTTACATATTTTCTTTGTCGAGTTATGACCTATTATCGATAGGCAGCATCCAAATAAAATGATGGTTAAACTTGACAGTAGACAAAACAATGACCATATTGTCTAGAACCTTCATCAGCAGAAAAGATCCTCAAAAGTCTAAACTAGTTGATAAATTGCAACTGGGCCTCAATATAAAATAATTAAAGACTATTACCAAAAAAAAGATAATCCCATTTTCATGTGTCATGTGTTAATCAATTAATCTAGGTACTTCGATAAAGCAGGGACACTCACTCTTAGAAAATTTGTATCAGAAATGGGCCTGCGCAATGTAATCAAGTTTTTAATGTTTTATGTGAGTGTAATTTTAATGATACATAGGCCTAAGTCCTTTTGGCCTATAATTAAGGTCTGACTCCGCCCATTCAAATGAGGAGAAATGTTGACCTACATTCCCATTGAGTTTTTTTGTTCTTTATATCAACTTTAAGTGAGGAAAATCGTATGTCAATATAATATAAGGCATCTTTCCCTCAAAATTTTTTAAAGAAATTCAAAGATAAGGTCTTTCATATTAAAACTGGCAACGCATTTCATTGTAAATTGATGTTGCGGTGTGCCAATGCCAATTCTCATTGATTTTTTATCTAGGTCATGTCCAACGTTCGTTACAATTATCCTAGTAACCTGCATTACCATATAAGGTCGCTCAACCTAAATTCGACATTGGCGTGGGCCACGCCCCCTTTTTAATGGTGGAAGATGCAGATACTTGGGAAATATTTAATTATTACCACTATTTACATCAAAATATTTAATAAATTATGTTTTAGAATGAACTTAAATCTTATTGAAAGCATACTATTTTAATTTGAGGTTTAAAACATTCTGTACGGTAAAGGTCCATATTATAAATGATCATTATTTGCAGTGTGCAAAATATCATGGCCATGAGCCATGGGCCGCCATTCAGTCACTTGCATAATGAGTATACCATACTGAGTTTTCATTTCATAAAAGTTTGCAGTGTGCAAAAACTATTAAACAATTGGTCAGGGAAAGCTTTAATTAATTAGTCATGTGCCAAAGTTGAAAGTTCAAAATCAGAAATTCCCAAACAGTATTTTAGTAATAAGGGGATGGATTGCCTTATATAGATTATATAGCATATACTATACCGGTATAATGGATGCCGTAGATTTGGTAAACAGAAAAGCCATATATTAATACATTATATTAAATTGACTGATATACATCGTAGTGCATGGTTAGGTAAGCTACAATTCATCTATAATTGTATAATTATAACATTATTACTAAAATTATTTTTTAATACAGCATTAGTTCTGAAAAATAACGGTCAAATAAAATTATCATTAAAATGAGAGTTATATAGCTTGTGAAGCGAAAAGCTGAAATGAGTCACAGAATGTGGAGATGCGGTCCATGTTAAAAAAGGATAAACGACGTCGTATTTTACAAATTCATAACTTTAAAGCTACAACAGCTATAAATACGATTTTGGTTTATAATTCTGTAAAAAAATTAGCTCTATTCAACAATGTCATCGGTTTATGACCAGAATGTCATTTCAAGCTTTAACTTTAGTACTTTTTGAGCTATGAATTTTTAAAGTGTGAGTTCGTTTGGTATTTTTCGCTGAACCTCCACATCTTGTAAACCCATTCTGCTGATCACGTCATGTGCAATAACTCTTGTTTTAAAGATAATTCTATACAAAGTTATTTCAGGATTAATCAGTATATTGAAATTTCTGATTTTAAAATTTATTTTAACCATATTATGTAATTATAAGTAGGCTAAATTTTAACTTATCTAGCCCTAGCTATGTAATATGCATTATAACATTAAATATGATATGGATGTTCTGTTTACTAAGTCTAGTGTCCATTATATATATATATATATAATCTGTATAAGGCAGTAAGGTACTGGTTTGGGACTACTTATTTTGAACTTTCAACTTTTGCTCATGATTTATTAATTAAAGCTTTCTCTGAACAATGATTTAATGGTGTTTGCACATATCACATGGCACATTAATTCTTTTATGAATAAAAATATGAGAATAATACTAAGGTAGAATAGCAAGTGACTGTGAATGGCTGCCCATAACGTTTTGGAACACAGCAAATTATGGACTAATTTATAATATGAATTCTACCGGGTTTTTACACCCCAAATCAAAATATTTTTGTTTAAATGCCTTTTAAGTTCATTCAAAAACACAAATTATCAAATATTTTGATATAAATAGTGATAATAATTGAATATTTTTGGAGTATCAGCATTTTCCGCCATTAAAAAGGGGGTGTGGTTGAAATTAGGTTGAGAGACCTTTTGATAATGCAGGTTACTAGGACGAGCATAACAAATGTTGGACACGACCTACATCAATGAGAATTGGTACACATATACATCAATAACATACAATGGTTCTCAAGTTTTAATATGAAAGAACAGTCTTTGAATTTCATAAATAATTTTGAGGGGAAGATTCCTTATATATACACCTATGCATTTCCAATATTAAATCGAAATGGCTATTCGCACCCGGTACCAGAATTGAGAGGTTGGGATTAAAAAACTTTAAAATATTATTGTTGGGTTCGTAAGACAAAATGAGGTATCAAATGAAAGATAATTGAAGGGACTATATGTTTATAAACTTAATTCTTCAGTTTAACAAAAATAAACTTACCACAAATGACATCCGAATAGCATTCAGTCAAAATAGACCCGGATGCATCGCAGGCATTCGCACCGGGGCCCATTAGACTCATGCTATTTGGATGTCATTTGTAGTCATTAATTTTGGCTGGGTTTTGGGCATAGATTTTTGCCGACTCTGCAAATTTTGGCCTTTCACCAACTTTGAAATACCAAGCACTAGACAGCATTGTTTATAAATATACAAGAAGTCACTGTAATTAATGTTTATGTAAATGCCTACAGTTAAAAACTCGAAGAAGAAACTTCCAGTATTTTTTCAATCTCTATCTGATTTGCTTATTAACTTCTCTATAAATTGAAGAAATACAACAAATATATTGTATTGAAATTGTGACGTCCTCAGTAATTCAGAAAAGTGCTTTGCCTCTTTGTTATGAGGACAATTTGACGTCCTTGATAATTGAAAGTGGTTGCGCTGACATCAGCGGTAATGAAAAGGTTACCTAAACTTTGTTGATTTTGTATTAATGTATCCCTAACTTTTTTTATTTCAATGTCTTTTTTTCCTTTTGTTTAACTAGAACCAACTCAGATATATCGCTATTTGCGAACAAGAAGCATTGTTTTGGTAAGTTTTATTTATATTTGTCATAATCAGTAACTCTTTAATAACTTGTCACAGAAAATTTGTAAAAATTATCTAAACCTTCTCCCCACCTCCAAATCTGTACAGACTGACTTTTAGTTAAAGAATTTATAGAAATTTATATGTATCTTTGATCATATTTATAATTATTGAAATAGTTAATCAATGGTTGATGGTTTATTCGTATTTTAAAAAAAGTTAAATTACTGTATCAATACAAATAAAATTTAATTCTTAAGTGTCAACCACAAGACTAAGAGGGAAAAAACACCAATTTCAGCTCAATCCACCTAGCTGAAACGATGGTATTGATTTATTATATCTCGAACACTGCATTTTGTTTTCTTTTGTTTTGGGGAAAAAGAACATATTTTGTTGTACTCTTTTGTTTTGCTTGTGACTAAAAAATTAGTTTTAATGTTGACGAAGCATACTGGGTTACGTTTATCAAGAAGCGCAAAGTTATGCAAAAAAATAACTAGAGACACAATAAGGAATAAAAATTATGTACTATTTTCTTTCAGCCAATTTTCCTTCCAAGAACACTGTCTTATATGAAACAGAGACGATCAGTTTCAAATAAAAAGCGGTGAGTGGTTCTATCTTAACACTTAAGATAGTTTTATTTTTATTTAAAATAAGCAGAGACTTGTACAGCTTTACCTTCCATTATAATTTTTACAGAGCTACGTAAGAAAAATTAATTTTGTTAAATATTTAAATTATTTCACACAGGAAGACTTTCAAGGTTGACTCAATTTTAGGATCAGTTGAAGCAAAATTAGAAAAGGATGCAGTCTGTAAGAGGTTAGTCAAACTTAAGATTGGCTAAATTATTCTCAACAAACTAGAGCTTCCGAATTGGTTCCTTGTGCCCATTTTTATGATTTTTCTAATGAATTTTTTTTTATCAATATATTATTTGAAAATGGAAGAGGGTGGGGGGGATGGGGGGGGGGAATGATTCAGTATTTTAAAGGCGTAAAGTCATAATTACAAATTTATACCAATTTAATGTACAATTGTACATTCAAAAGGGCAGAGAACTCCTATGCTTTAATTATAAACTCTGATGCTTCTGCAATCTTCTCTTTACCAGATACTATTTATTATTTCATTTAAAAAATGAAGTAATGATAATTTTTGGAAAGTACTCTTCTGTTTTAGAATTATTGAGAGGAAGTAGAGTTATTTATTTTCTATCAATAATACTGCCTTTTTGTTAATACAACCAACCCCGCCCCTTTTTTGAAGGAACAAGTTATTGGGAGCTGACTGTTTAGATGTTATCTTTGAGCAGATAATTTAAATAACTATTTTTAACCTTGATAAAACATGATTAAACTTAGCTTTTAGACTAAGCATGTTTAATTAAGTTAGAACAGTATTTGTTAAATGGTATTTTTTTTTATATCTTTAAAATATATGTGTATTTATAGCTGTGGTAAACTTAAAACAATTTTTTCACCAGATTGAGGTTAGAAACCCTACAGCTTTCATTTTCTGGATTCCACATTGCAGATTGTAAGTAAACAATCTAAATTATTTTGTTTAGCTCTTGGTCACAAATGTATTAGTTGTAAGTTACGTCTTATGGCAAGGCACTTTACTAATAAAATATTTGTTATTAAATGTTTACATTCCTTTTCTGTTGCAGTTGCCACAGAGGCAGAGTTTGCTGATGTTGAAGTTTTGCTATTACGTATTTGTCAAAAGAAGAGAAAGGTAAGCATAAATTTTGATTGCTGTTTGTCAAAAGAAGAGGAAGATACGCAAAAATTGAGATTGTAGTGTTATCTTGTCTTTTTAGATAATATTTGAAAAAAAATTATTATAATTTTTTTTTTTTCAGGAATCTTCAGTACCAATAGTTCCCATAAACCTAGCAAAATTAAGAGTACCTGTCAATCCTAAACCTTTAGCGGTTTACCCAGATCAGGTTCTCGAAATACCCAGTGATACATTTGCATACAAAAATGGACATGTAGTAAGATCTCATGTCTTATTATTTAGAGTGCAGTGTGCAACCTTAAGAGAAACTAGTAGCTCTGGAATTAATGGAGAGAGTCACTCACCCAGTAAGTCATTCATTCTCTATGTTACTCTTGAATCTTATTTGTGCAAATTTACTTTCAATTGTAGTTAAGCCTTAAATTAAAATAGAATCTTTAAATTTTGTATTGAAAGTTCAGAGGAAATTGAGTCTTCTTGTAACTGCACTTTCCTCTTATATCATGAATTTTAAATATTTTAAATTAAACTATACCATCATTTCAGGTGAACCTCCAATTAAGCGTCGTCGAAATGGAAGAATTTCCTCATTGGAAGAAGAGGTTTTAACATTTTGTAGAGAGCTTGTAGTTTATGATAAAATCAAAACCTGTTTATTGACACAAGGAAAGTATGAATTAGGAGTACAAACATCTGATGGCACAGAGAGACTTAAGCTCAATAAAGTATGGGAATCATTTACTGGCAAGGTAATTACATGAATTTTAATGTTTTTGTGATTTAACATATTTTAAAAAAAATCTGGTCATTGAATCATTTTACTGTAGCGTAAACTTTAGTTTGGGATTTTAAATGATTATCTGTTGTGAGGTCCTCAAGCTTGAATCATTAACAAGAGCACCAATGTTGAAAATCATCATTTCTTTTTGTGGATTAACTAACTTGTGTTATGGTATTGTAGTCGTGGGATATGTGTAAGTGCAAGATGTCTTTATGAAGACATGATGGTGCTCAGTACATATACATGTGAAAAGTGGAAACAGGAAGTATACAACACCAAGACAGTAAACTCGGTCTTCAATAAAAACTACAAGGTTATCAAACAGAACATTACACTATCTCTACAAGGCAACATACTGAAAAAAAGAAGACAATCGAACATGTCTGGGTGTCCAGTTCGATTGGCAACTCAATCTTTTGTACATAAGATTGGTGAGATCAGTTATGGAATACAGTGTTGTACTACAGTCAATTTGCAGCAAGACAGTACAGGACTCTCCAAAAAAGTACAAAGCCAGGTGGCCCATTTCAAAGTCATTGGAAAGTCAAAGATATACGCCAATAGCAGCAGTGATGGAATACAGCTTTGTGCTACTGTCAATTTGAAGCAAGACAGTACAGGACTCTTAGGGAAAGTAAAAAGTCAGATGGTCAATTTCATCTCTGGAGATCTAAGGTTACTCCAGCCGCAGCATGCTAAATACATATCAATATTGAGGTACTAAATCTCAAAAGAGAGGCAGCAGTCATTGAGACAGTTAAAAGGTACCGAAGGCTATACAAGCAACACCGAAATGGACAAATGGTTGAAAAATGGAGTCTGAACCATAAAATTATACGGAAATCAGTACTAGATGTGGCCTCTGAAATTGAAGAGAAACACCACCTACCAACAGACAGAGAAGTCTTGCAAATCATACCTAATGACATATCCCCAAACCAACATTTGCAAACTTCTTATAAAAAGACTGACCCAATAGAAGAAATTGAAAAGTATGGTCCCTGCTGAAAACAAACATAGCATCCTATGCACAGGGCTGGATTAACCATTAGGCAAACAAGGCACATGCCTAGGGCACCAAGCATTTGGGGGCACCACAAGTCCTCAAGAAAAATGTGTATATTGTCCAGGTAGCGTAATTGCATGGCATAAGCAAATCTCAAATGTCATATTGAATCGCACATTATTTAACCCCCACAACCCGGGGGTAAAATACCCCCCACCCAGTTTTTTTGCTAATTTTTGTTATTTTTCTTCAACTTTCTTTTGCTCTATTTTATTTTGCTTTTCTGAGATATGTTTGTGCTACGTAACGCACTAATGTGTAGCGACAAATTCACTTCCGTTTTGGTCTGTTAGTGAAAACAATTGTGAATCGGGTCAGTCAAGCTCTACAAAATGAGCACGTGAACTTGAAAACGTGTGCTGATTTGTATTCTTCACTAGCAGATCACTTGCATGAATCTAGGGATGAATTTGAAAGATTTGAAGAAGCTGCAAAAGAAATAATACCAGGTGTGGATTATAAGTCAACTTTGACCCGTAATCGTAAACGAAAGACACTGGTTATTGATGGTGATGCGCCTGAGGTATCTCAGAATGCCAGAGAAAAATTTTGTATATCTGCTTTTTACACCATTGTTGACAAACTTGAGACAGAGATGAGTAGACGAGGACAGGTATTTAATGATCTAGCAGTTCGATTTTCTTGTTTGGTCGATGTACCACAAACATCTCAGTGTTGTGAAGGACTAATAAATGCTTATCCTGAAGATCTGAACAATAATTTATAAACTGAACAACAACAGTTCCACTCATATATTCGCCACAATTTTCATGCATCAAAATCTGAGAACAACACGTTCTGTCATGCAGAACTTTACAAAGTAATAGTTAGAGACAACGAGTGGGCTTTTCCAAATGTAGAAATCGCCTTGCTCATATTTTTAACATTAATGGTTACGAACTGTTCAATTGAACTCTCTTTTTCTCATTTGAAACGTACAAAAAATCCAAGTAGATCGACAATGAAACAAGAAAGGCTTGATTCCTTATCTTTGCTGACGATTGAGGCAGACTAGTTGCGCAAAATTAACTTTGATGATGTACTCAAAAACTTTGCCAGACGTAAATCTAGAAAAAAAGAACTTTAAAATTTAAATGTGTGCTCTCTCTGACTTTCTTATCTATCAAAAAAATTACAGTATTTTTGTCTACTATTATTACAAAATTAATTAACTATTAATTTTAATACAGAAATACCTTATTGTAGGTTTTATATGAGTGAAAGTAGTGCAAACATATGTGTTTACATTTCACAACTGTTATTCTTTGTTAGTTTTTTTGCATAATATTGAACATACCAGCAGTCAGTGAAGGATCGGGGGCAGTAGGGGGCATCCATGTGGGTTTGTGCCTAGGGCACCAAGATGGCTTAATCTGGCCCTGCCTTTGCATAGGATATAATTCAAATATACACAAATGTCAGCTTTTAAAGGAGACAAAATAAAGTACACAATAAAGATCAATCATTTGATTAACTCTGAAACCCCTGTGGGGTGCTCTGCAATAATTATGAAGCAGATGCAACTGCCAGTGAAGTAGTGTTTTACCACCTGTTAGCAATCTCCACAGTGTATCCCAGCCCCAGCATAAAAAGAAATGACTTTTGCTGCTCCGATTGACAATCAATTTATCAGGCAGCTGAACATCAATATCTTACAACATTGGTAAAATCACCTTTCTCAAAACCTATGCAGTCAATCTTGCTTTATGATGGATACCAGGAAACCACAATATACCAGGAAATGAGAGGGCAAACAAACCAGCAAGCAGGGAGCCTTCAATGAACAGCCAAACATACCTACATCAATCATTCATTTGCATTTGAAATTGACACTGGAGCCGGAGAAAATTTTATGTCTGAATCTGTTTGGCGAAAGCTGGGACAACCCACATTGAGCCCAGTATCTGTCAAGTACGAGTCAGCGTCTGGTGACCTACTTAATGTTTTGGGAGGTGTGAAGATGCATGCTGAGGCAGGGGAAATAACTACAAATCTGTCTTTTGTAGTAGTGAAAAACCACAACTTAAATTTGTTGGGCAGAACTGCAATAAAGAACCTCAGGATTTCGATAGACACAATGTTTCAAACAAGGACAAATCACATTGCTAATCAAAGCTTATTGATTAAAGCTCGTGAAAAAATCCGTAAATCAACTGAACATTGCAATACAGATACTCTTAGTCGTCTACCCTCAGGGCTGGATGCCATTTTTGATGTTGAAGAAAGTGAAGCAAACATGGATTCTGTTTGTATGATCAAACAAATCAGTTTGCAGATCAGACCAACAGACCCAGGAGTCCTTGCTAAAGAGTCACTTAAAGATTCTACTGTGTCTACAGTAATAAGATATTGTCAAGAGGGCTGGCCGTCCTCTACTACAAACAAAGAACACTTGAACAAGGAGGCAGCTAACATAGCAGCTTTTAAAAAATATTCAAGACTCACTCTCCGTGGATTCGAATTGTCTATTTTATGGTTCAAGAATTGTGGTACCAAAAATACTACAAGCTCAAGTTCTCCAAATCCTGCATACAGGACATTTTGGAATTGAGCGGATGAAACAGTTAGCAAGATCATCTGTATATTGGCCTGGACATGATACTCAAATCATGGAGATAGGTCGGACATGCCAAGCATGTGCAGAATACGCCAGAGACCCAAACAAAGCTAGTATCCACCCGTGGATGTTGCCAGAAAAACCATGGAGTCGAGTGCATATTGATCATGCCATTAACTTTAAGGGATCACATTGGCTGGTGTGATAGATGCTTATTCAAAGTACCTGTGTATCCACAGGACAACATCTACATCGACCAAAGCCACCATTGATCATCTGGAGGAAGATTTTGCTCATTTCGGTTATCCACACACCATAGTCAGTGACAATGCTACTTGCTTCATCTCAGAAGAATTTCAGCATTGGTGTAAGAAGAAGGGTATTGTACATCTTGCAGGCGCTCCCTACTATCCTGCTACGAATGGAGCTGCAGAACGACTGATTCAAAGTTTCAAGAATTCACTAAAGAAATCCTCATTACCTTTGAAGGAATCTCTACAAGACTTTCTGCGTCAGTATCGTAGGACACCATTGGCAAGTGGATTATCACCTAGCCAACTGCTAAACAATCGGCAAATAAGAACACTTATTGATACTCTAGTTCCCTCACCTGCTCATCAAGCACAGGGACAGCATCTTAAAGAAATACTCGTTTGCAATGGGACAAACAGAAGTCCTAGTCGATCATTTAACCGGGGAGATCCATGTTACGTCAGAGTATATGGAACAGCAACAGACTCTAAACCACGATGGGCTCTCGGTACAATCATCCAAGTTATGGGTCCACGTCTTTTCAAGGTGAAGATTTATCCGAATGGTCCCACATGGTAGAGACATTTAGACCAACTTCGCCCCAGGTACGGAGCAGAAGAAGATTCAGAACCAGGTTTGGATATAATGACAAGTCTTTATCCAACAGCTCAGGCAGCCCTGAGTCATCAACTGTCTACACATCCAGCAACTCCAAGTCCACCTAAGAAGAAGATTAACCCTCGACATCCAAGACCTTCAGACTATGTCATACCCAGAAGATCTCAAAGACAACGTCGAGCACCATTGTTACTGGACTTGTAATTGTTCGGGGAGGTGTTATGGTGGACTAGCGGATTGGCCCGTACAGATAGCCAGCCAAGGAAACAGCGTGCATGCGCAGAGAGACTGGACAGAGGGTGTGTGTTTATGAACTGTGTTCCGGACGCAAACAGAAAGTCAACACCTTATTGAGAACTTGTATTTATGTATATATATGTGTATGTTACGTGTTTGAAATAAAAACAATGAAAACATAACACTTTCTCAAAACCTATGCAGTCAATCTTACTTTATGATGGATACCAGGAAATGAGAGGGCAAACAAACCAGCAAGCAGGGAGCATTCAATGAACAGCCAAACATACCTACATCAATCATTCAACACTGCAAAAAAAAATTTATCAGAGCTAACAAAAAAAAAGAAGAGATGGGCTATGGCTCAACAGGAAGATGTTATCACTCACATGCCTAGCCCAGGCACTAAAGATAAAATACATTGCCTCCAAACATTGACACACATAGGTCATAATCTTTCGCCTGCGTATGGGACATACAATTTAATTCCAACCTTAAGCCAAATAAAACACTAATGTGCCCCCTCTGCAGACAACAGAATGAGACAATAACACATCACCTTTTTCACTGCCCTGTACTTAGGAACTTATGTCTTAATTATCTACCAAAAACACTATGCCAGACCTGTTCACTCTTTTGATTTTGGCGTACAATGTATGATTTTGAGGTGTGTTCATTTTATATGCTGTATGTTATTATTTTACTATTAAGATAATGTATTGAACGATTTTTTGATGATATTGTACAATTTTAAAAGTTTGAGGGTAAACAGGCCTGCTATGTCACACCAACACTCTATTTACAAAGAAGAGCTGCAGGGAGTGTGTCAGTTCTTCACCATGGCCTTGTTCATAAGGCCACATGCTCAAATGGTTACTGCATCTAAATCATGATGATGTTGTAACTTATAAATGATCAAATTACCTTAAACATTTCCTAATTTAAAAAAATATCATTTAGGATTTTTAAAAGAAAGTAAATAAGGCATCTCTCTGCACCATAGGTAAATTTTGGTGATCAAGTGTCCATCCTAAAACAATGTCTTAGCTCAACATTTGATCAAAATATAGACATGGACCTATGATAATGAGTGTATAATTTTTATTTCTAAAATCATGATGGCATACACCTAAACTCTAGTAAATCTATTAATAATTAATTATGCGATGTGACAAATAATCATTGCCATTTTTTATATCTTAGTTCTAGGTGTAAAAGCAGAATAGATAGATTACTATATAGCTCACTGTCATATTTATTGTAATTATTTACAACAAAAAAATGATTTTGAAAATTGAAAAACAAAACATGTAGTTTGACTGACATCTTTTGTCCATTCAGTTTCTGGTCATTGTTATTCTGTTATTGTTCAAAGCTCTTAATATATTTCTAGGAAGTCTTATAATTGAAAATCAATTTTAATACTGTTTTCCAAAAACTTAAAATCTGTTTTCTTAAAAAATGTATGTGATATTAATAATTTTATTATAATTTTCCTGATATATTCCATGTGTGTTGGAAAATTGAGCTGAGCAAAAGAAATTTTATATACTGTTCTATGATTTAACAAATTCAATCTTGTTTTAAGATTTTGCTCATGAGATGAACTATACGTAACAGGACTGAAAACCAAAGCTAGCGATATTAACAATAATCAGTTTATTTATACTAATAATTCTGATATGGAGTAGAAACTCAAATATGTAAAAATAATACAAAACTTTGTTTATTTACTGCACATAAAAATAGAAAGGTTAATAGATTAATCCACACACACAGTGAAAATCGTCTCTTGAAGCTCTTTTGTCTCTCTCTACCAGTCACATTTGACTGTCTTATTTATGGCCTGTGAGGGAGTTGTTTCTCAAATTGAACCTTCAGTCTAGAAGGGCAAGCAATAGTTCTCCAATTCTATAATCTACTAGTAAATTCAAGATAAGTTGTGTTTCTAAGATAACCAGCAAACACAAGGAAAATTGGTTAATTACACAAATAAAAGGGGAGATAATTTTACAGTAAAACTGGACGGTGAACCAAAATTGCGTTTAACAAAATCTCTGTTTTATAGGGCTATAACACTCACACTATAAAGAATATCAAAATTGGCCCAATTTCTAATTATTCTTATTTAAAGAAATGTTAGTGTGAAAAGCTGTTTTTTTATTTAAAATTATTTTATATTTAAAAATAATTTCTTTTTCAGAATGTCAGACCCTTAGAATTGTTCACAGACTATCCGACCCTCAAGTTTACTCTGACTTGGCTCGAACATGAAGAGAACAATAAAAAATGTCTTGAAAATACAGCTCAGTCACGTGTCCCTCCCCCTCGCTGTGATCTTATAAACGGAACCTCAGATTTCTCAGCAGCATTTGAGAAATGTAAGGTTTATCAGAGGGGTGTAATCAAAGGTTTGCCTTTTGTTTTACCCCATCTCTTTCTTGTTGTTTTCCTTGCCCAGCACTTTTAAGTATTAATTCAAGCAAAGTCTGTGCACATTTATTTTCTTCCCATAACAAATAAAACACTTCGCTTGCACAACTCAGTAATCTAGCAACTAGTGCATGTTTGTACCTGTTTACCTTGTGACTTAACTTATTAATGCTCTTGTTTGTAATTCAAGTTTGATAGGACTTCAAAATGTTGTGTTTATTTCCAATCAGGGGTGAAGTCAGAGTACACAGGTCCCAAAACTAGAGACAGAGAGGGAAGTACACAGTTAACACCAAGAAAGCGACTGCGCGTTTTCTATCAGTTTACCCACAATGATTGCACCCAGCAGGAAACTGAGGCAAGAGATGACCTCAGGTGTCCATGGTGTTGTCTATCATGCCAGCAATTATACAGTTTGCTCAAACATTTACGCCTTTGTCACTCACGATTTAATTTTTTGTACATCGTAAGTATCATTTCAGTGCAAAAGTTTTAAAGGGCATATTGCCAGCTGTACATTTTGATCAAATTAAAATAAGTTTTTGAATAGATAAATTCGTTTTGAACTATTGCTACTTTTTTTTTATATTATGAAACAAGCATTCTTCCTTTTTAAAAATTGAGAATGTTACATTTCAGCCCCATCCTAAAGGAGCTCGCATTGATGTTTCAATTAATGAACGATATGATGGATCTTATGTTGGAAACCCTCAAGATATTCATTCCCATGTAGGCTATGCCTTCAGTCGCAGCAACCCAGTTAGAAGGACACCTATAACACATGTTATTGTTTACAGGTAATTTTCAATACTAGTTAAAAGGGTCCTAACACGCCAGGTCATTGGATTAGGAAATGTTTTCAAAATATTTGAATCACATGCCTTTCTTTTAAAAGTTAAACTAGATTTTACTCAAGAAAACTTGTTTTAGCAGTGTGTATGTGTGTTTTATTTATAATTTTTACTGCTTCGTTTCAACATAAAAATAATTTGTTTACATTCCTTCTGCAAATTACCCTCATACTTAGCTACCCCTGAGTTTGATCAAGTTTATTAAATAGTTGTCTATTTTAACTTTTTTTTTACATTGTTTCTCTTTTATAGACCTAAACGTGCACCACCATCATTATCTGAATTCCAAGAGGCAGAATCAGAAAGTGGACTCAACAGACAACTTATTCAGGGGCATAACAGGTTGTTGATTTAATAGAAAAATTAAGCAAGTCCATAAACTTAAATTGTGAAAGCTTTTGACTGCTTAATTAATTCTAGAATTTATTTGAAATAATTCATTTATGTATATATATATATCCTGAAAAGTTTAAATAAGACCCCAAAATAATACGGGGGACTCAAATTTTAATCCTTCAAAAAATCTTTGAGTGAATTGTCTTTATACTGTTCTTATTACCAGACTTTACTTCCACACTGTGACGTGCCAACCAGTCAGACCTCAGGAACTAGATACAGAGGGTAGAGAAGAATCCAAGCCAAGGTGGTTGAAGCAAAAAACTATAATGGTAAATTTATTAACAGCAAAGTTTTTTTAAAATCTGTGTGTCTGTATACCAGTTTGAATATGTTAAAAAAATGTTGAATTCTAAGAGTAAAAAAACCTGATAAAATTATGATACATCAGTACTCAGTTTTTATAGCATCTTTAAAAGCCTATGTCAGTTTTTGTTGGGGTTAAAACTGATGTTTTTCAAAGTTAACATTTATTTGAGTGGATATAGCTATTGAATATTTTATTTGCAAAATTTATTTTTAAACTTCAAAGAAAATGTTGTGATATTACATGTCTGCATTTGGAATGTAATATTGATATTTTCATAGAAGATATATTGATATTTTCTTAGATGATTGATGAGTTTACAGATGTGAATGAAGGCGAGAAGGAGCTTATGAAAATGTGGAATTTGCATGTCATGGAAAAAGAGTAAGTATATTTAATTTTAAAATTATCTTTTGATTTAAAAAAAATTAGAATTCTTAATATGAGCTCAATGTCATCAGTAAGTTGTCTTAGTACATGATTTCAGATTTCTCTTTCTTTCTCACTCTACTTATCATCAGTTCACTATTTCAAAAAAGTGAAAGTGGTTACTTATGTTAAATTTTTGGGCATGTGTCAATAAAATTTTGATTGACTTATTTATAAAGTCTACACACATTTTGCAATAATTATCCTGAAATTCTCAGTATAAATTAAATAAATAGAATAATGTTTTTTTATTTACAATGATGCTGTAAAAGTATGCAATGTTTTTTAGGAATTATGTTACCTTGTTTTTTCACAATTGAGCTTTCACAATTGAGCTTTCACAATTGAGCTCACTTATACTAGAAGTAATAGTAATATTTAGACTACCATATATTCCATGTGCATGTGAGGTATGTTGTTTGGCTAACCCAGTGGCTCCTAAATTTGTTCGATTCCTTGTACCCTTGCAAAATTGTTACATTCTAACTAGTACACTTTGAAATAGCCTACATGTTTTTAAGAAAATGAAAAAAGTGTCAAGGAAAAATAAATTTAAAAATAACTCCAGACAGATAATTCATCTAGTGAGGTACTGTTTGCTAGATTTCATATAGCATGAAGAAGGGGAATATAATTGTGTAATAGTTAACCGTGCCCCTGTGAAGAAGCCAGGGCAGAGCCTGTAAATGGCGCCCTCAGTATATATAAAAGTGTATATAAAAGAAAAAAGTACAGTGCAGACAATTTTAACCGTCCAAAACCGATTTTTTTTGTTTTTTTTTTTTGATGGCTTAAGGTAGAAAGCTCATTTGTATGTAAACTTATGGGGGTGTCCAAAAAAGGAATGGGGGGGGGGGGTCCGAAGTTTTCCTTCTTTGCATACCTACTATATGTATGGCCCCTTATTGAAAGCATCTTAACTATTTTTTTTTTAATATTTAGGTATATAGGAGATTGCATGTTTCCCCTAGCAAGCTTTACTTTTTAATGGGGGGGGGGGTCCGAAGTTTTCCTTCTTTGCATACCTACTATATGTATGGCCCCTTATTGAAAGCATCTTAACTATTTATCTTTCAATATTTAGGTATATAGGAGATTGCATGGTTCCCCGAGCAAGCTTTACTTTTGTTGAAGAGCATGGTGAAGAGATTATACGCAAAAATTTGTGTAGAAACTTCTTGCTTCACCTTGTTAATCTCTTCGACTTTAGTCTCATTCGGCCTGAAGTTGTGCAGCGCGCATATGCCATGTTGGAAAATCTACGTCATTCGATTTCCTCTCAAGGAAAGAAATCAGGTTCTTGATGTTAACTCAGGATTAAATTAACTACCAAAGGCAGTCATTATTGTAGTTAAGTTTTATTATAAACAGCAGTCTCTACAAATGTTTGTACAGTTGTAAACAAGTGCTAGTGCTATGAAAGTAACTTTGTGTAATTGTTAGCCATACATGTGTCATGTTTATTTGCTGATCATAGAACAAAGTAGACAGAACTTAACTATCAAATAAAGAACCAAGACAGTGAACATAAAATTATAAATAAATATATATTTCTACAAACTCAAGAATTATTTCATTAAAAGTCTACACTACACCTTTAACATATATGGAAGAATTAAGTCTTTACAAAAAACATTAATTAGAGTAATTTTATTGTGAAAGCTTTCCAAAATGCTAAAAGTTTTCCAAAATGCTAAAAGCTTATAACATTAAAAAAAATTGCTATTGCTTTTGGAGCCATATGACATGGTATTGGTCTGGTACTCAACTTGAGGCATTCTTTGAATTAAAGCACAGTTGTGAGGCATTGTGGGTTATTAACATCACATAAAAGGAGTTTAGCTGTAAATATAGTTAAATCAAGAAGTATGCATTAGCTATCTATGAGGTGGAATACAGAAAGGAGGGTTTCAGAAACAGCACTAAGTTGAGAGTTGTTTTTTCTCATCTTTTTGCCCTTGTAAATTGCCTTTTATCCTCCTACCTCTTATAGACTGATTGATTAATTTACTAGTTATTCAATACAAGAAGTGAACAGCATTTGCAAAGATGGTAGTAGTATAATTAGCAATATTATGTAAATAGATTGTGTACAGGTTTGTTTGCCTCAGCCTGATGATGTTGTCAATCCTTTGTGCCTCACTTTCATTGTGATTTCATTTACTTTGTTCCAGTGGCTATGAAGTGGAAATGTATATTATGTCTTGATTTCTAGATATATGTATCATGGTATCATAAATTTCATCTGCATGCATTCCAAAGAAATAAAGTTTCTTAAAAATGTAAATCGCTGTCATTAGGAAATGATTTTTTTGTGTTGGTGCATGTCATTATTGATTGGAATAATGCTGAAAGCCATTCTTAAATACTTGATGTATGATGCTGATATTCTTTACGAGTGCTATGATGTGAATATAAAATTATTTTGATGATGTTCATATTTAATGCTTATGTTTCATTTGTCTTCATCATCTCTCATCCAGTAAGAAAAAGTCAAAATGTGTTAAGAATTTTGAGAAATATACAAGTATTTTAAGTGAATGCATGTTTGTGCCTGTTTAATCAATGAGAATTCTTGATATGCTACACCAGAAGCTCTGGCACCTGGTCCAATCACAGCACTTTATTTGCTGTGACACTTGTGTATGTCTAAAGGCAGCACTATACAGATTTTTATTTACCAAGTCAGCACAGGTGCCATTCAGCCAGTTTGAACAAAAACGAAAAAGTTGTGCATCTAGTCTGTCTAATTTAAATTCATATTTTATGATTTGAAAGGTAAGGTCAACAATACAGTATAAATATTAGCTTTTGGAAGATAGATTTATTGGAGTTGGAGAGTGAAGACTCTGGAAGATATTTTTAGTTTTATTTTGTGGGGTTATGTCTTATGATATAATATTTATTTATTCACTATAATTTAGTATATATGATGTGATTTGAATGTACACATGTTCTTTTTGAATGAAACACCTCACGAGATTTTATTAAATTTGAATACTATTCCATTGTTTCCTGTTTTTGTATTAACTAACAAAAATAAGATGAAAAAAAATGTTTTGAAAATCATGCACCCTAAAATTTAGTGGTAAATTGATTAGCCAAATAACTTAATACATGACAGGAAATCTAACCTTATAATTATAAGGTGACCAACTTTATGGAATTTATCAAAATTACTTCTTTATGTAATGTAAGAAATTTATTATTAGTCTTTGATAGTGTTCCACTAACAACCTGTTATACTATGGGGATGTTTGCTATTGTTTAATCACCATCAGAGCCTTACCACTGGCAAAATCATACACAAATGAAACCTTCAAAAGTAACCTTCAAAGAAAAAATGTTGCAGACTTGAATGTGAATTGACAACATCTTAATGGTTACCGGAAATTTGATCGAAACAAATTTCGTCGACGGTAATTTGATCGAACGGAAATTTGGTCGAATCTTTTTTTCAGTCCACACGTCAAAATTTTTGGTATATTTCTTTTTGAACGCACTATACTATATAGTAAAACAAAATAATGCGTTCAAAAAGAAATTTGAAGCAAGATTTTAAAGTAAAAACTGAAAAATTGATTCGACCAAATTTCCGTTCGATCAAATTACCGTCGACGAAATTTCTTTGGATCAAATTTCCGGATACGCATCTTAATGATAATGCTGACCTCTTTCTTAAAGTTAAAGGGGGAAAAAGAAAAGTACAAGCTAAAACTTACTGAAAGTAAAATGACATCAAAGACTGAATATATTAATGCTGATGTTTTAAAATTTTATTTTGAATACATTATTTCAAAATTGCTGCTACTGCTACTACTGATGTAGAATCCATCTGCCAGATTTGAGGCTACCCCGTACTATTACTACATCATGCTTATTGAAGAAATTTTCCATAATTCCTGAAATAAAAAAAAATTTGGACAATGGAAAAATACAACTTTGCTCATATTTTATGACAATACAGGTCATTTACTGTCGATAATTTCACTGGTAAAGTCCCCAAACAACTAGGCCTTCTTGTTAAATGTAAGATCCAATGATTACAATTTTAATATCATTTTCTATCAAGTTGTCATGGATGCTATAACTATAAGGAAGACTTACAAGATTTTTGTGTCTCTTGTAGTGAAAGTATTCTGGGAATTCTGTACTTATTTTGACTGCTGAAAAATGGAGAGGTCCTTCATCTATACTTGTTAAATCTGCTAAATTCTCACAGAAATCTTCATAGGCTGGGCTACATATCTGATGACTCTCAGAACTGAAGACAATCCTATACACAAGAAATTTCATTAAATTTAAAATTTCACTCATTTTCTATTTTAAAAAATGAAAAATTTTCTTACCGATAAATGTATATAATAATTAATACTTAATTACCTGTACCTGTTATGCACCATCAAATATAATGAAAATAACTCCAAATAGATTAATCTAGCGAGATACTGTTTGCACCATGCCCACTAGATTTCACATAGAATTAACATGGGAAATAAAATTGTGTAATAGTTACCCGTGCCCCTGTGAGGAAGCCAGGGCAGACCGTGGGGCAAAGCCTGTAAATGGCGACCTCGGTCTTAAAAAAAAGTACAGTGCAGACAATTTTAACGGACCCTTGTTTTAAGTACATGGAGTGTTATCGTTTTATTCACAATTGGTATTATGTCCTACCTTAAGAAGGTTTTGGCACCCCCTGTTGTTGGTACCTGGGTCTAGTGCCCCATTCTAACTACCCTACCCGAAGGCAAAGCAGCACCCCAGAGCATAACAGAAATTATATTTTATGCTACGTAACAACCTCTAACAAAACAAACAACTGCACATAAAAATTTTGATACCAAATCTGAAAGTAAAAGTTATTTTTCTTTACTTGCTACTTACTAATCACCTTTTTTCAAGTGCCATGACTATAGACTTTGGTGGTGAGTTTGACAGCAAATGATAAATGGTTTTGAAAAATGCTCGAGTCAGATCCTCATCATATACAACTAAAAGTATCAGAATTGCATTGTTATTATTAGCACAAAAAAACTAAGTTCGGATATTGCTTTCTTACATAAATCATTTTTAAAAAGTATACACTTAAAAAACCTTAAAACTGATAATTAGTTATCACAACATCTGAACTTACTAAGTTAATTTTGTTATAGAATACCAGTATAAACATAATCCTATGAAATGATTGTCTACCATTTTTCTATTTTCCAGTTAATCCATATTGGCTGTGTTGATTAGGGTTGAAATGGGTAGAAAGACTTTGACTTGGTATGCTTGTAATTAGTTTTTGCAGTGTTGCGTTTGTTTTAAATGTGGCAAATTAAAGATTTTTTTTTTTTTTTTACTTTGTACCGCGCTTCGGGCCTTTAGAGATGAAGCGTGTTTTTCAAATAAACTTTATTATTATTATTATGAAATCTTATTTTAATTTTGTATGGAATAATATTGTCCCTGTTGAGAAACCCATGAGACTTGGTATTGACTCTATAAAAAAAATGTGATCTAGAAATGTGCCAAGCACTTAGACAGGAACTCTCAAGACATTTCTTTTAAAGATTCTGGTCCATGTTTATGCTCAGATTGGTCATCCTCCATACAAACTTCAGCATTCCAAAGGCCAGATTTACCTTTCTGAGGCCATCTGTTATAGGCTTGCTACATAGGTTCTCAAACTCTGCCATATCTTTTGGTAAGCTGCTATTTGCTATTCACTGTGATTGTTGGATCCTTACCTACATATGAGGCTAACAAAGTCATCATATAGTAGTTTGCTGAGGAGGGGGGGGGGGTGTTGGTGTTCTGTGCAGTGCAAGAGATGATGTGGTACTTTCTTATATTGATGTTTGCTGAGGGGGATGTTGGTGTTCTGGGCAGTGCAAGAGATGATGTGGTACTTTCTTATATTGATGTTTGCTGAGGGGGATGTTGGTGTTCTGTGCAGTGCAAGAGATGATGTGGTACTTTCTTATATTTATGTTTGCTGAGGGGGATGTTGGTGTTCTGGGCAGTGCAAGAGATGATGTGGTACTTTCTTATATTGATGTTTGCTGAGGGGGATGTTGGTGTTCAGTGCAGTGCAAGAGATGATGTGGTACTGTCTTATATTGATGTTTGCTGAGGAGGATGTTGGTGTTCTGGGCAGTGCAAGAGATGATGTGGTACTTTCTTATATTGATGTTTGCTGAGGAGGATGTTGGTGTTCTGGGCAGTGCAGGAGATGATGTGGTACTTTCTCATATTGATGTTTGCTGAGGGGGGATGATGGTGTTCTGAGCAGTGCAAGAGATGATGTGGTACTTTCTCATATTGATGTTTGCTGAGGGGGGATGATGGTGTTCTGGGCAGTGCAAGAGATGATGTGGTACTTTCTTATATTGATGTTTGCTGAGGAGGATGTTGGTGTTCTGGGCAGTGCAGGAGATGATGTGGTACTTTCTTATATTGATGTTTGCTGAGGAGGATGTTGGTGTTCTGGGCAGTGCAGGAGATGATGTGGTACTTTCTTATATTGATGTTTGCTGAGGGGGGATGTTGGTGTTCTATTTGATTTTATGTGGTTACTGTGTGAGTTTAGTTGGATGTGTCCCGCAGGCAGGTGGAAGATTGTGACCTATTCCTGTCTTAGAAGGCACTTTATATAAACAATCATCTCCCTGGTAATTTCTAGCTCATCCATTTAAACCTTCTTATCTGACAGCACAGATATATCTGTTAGGCTGTGTTGAGTGATGCAGGTTATTTATATTTGGCTGCGCTCTGTTTTTTGACAGCGTATCTTCTCCCTCATTTCCCTGTACATCTCTGTGTCCTGGTATTAGACTGAAAGTTAGCTTGACAGCTTAGAATTTGGGAAGGGAGTTTATTTTCAAAAGTAATGATTGTATTGTTATTGTAAGATCTTAGTGCTTAGCTTCCTCAAGTATCCATTTGAAATGACGGCATTTCCTTTTTTAAGATGTGAAAATGCATATGGGTGGTGTAGTGCTACTTAAATGTCCTTCATAATATTAATAATAAGTGCAGAAAGTCCCACAAGGGTTGCAGAGTTAATCACTTGAGCGGTCAGGGCACTCTATTTGTACACAAAAGCCAGCATGTAACACTCTTTTGAATGCCGCTTCATCTGTGTACTTTGGATTATATCCTCTGAGTAGAATGCTATATTTTTTTCTGCAACCATCATTGTAATTAGCATATTGTTTCTGTCAGGTATTTAAAAATGTCTGTATAAAATAAAAACCAATCTTTATTTACAATTAGTTTGAATTAGAATCTATATAGTGCAGTGCTTGAGTCCAGCAGGAATGCACTTTATAATTTTGGTTAAGAAATAAATACCATACATATTTATTTTGGGAAGGGGGAATCATGGGGGAGATCCCACAAATATTTTTCCCAGACCTTGACCCCTGGTAAAGTGTATTATTTAAAATGTTAACAACAAGAAGTTATTCTTTCGTTTTTATTTTTCTATTTCTTTTTTATGTGTGTATCATTTCCATACAAAATATATGAAGGCACAAAATTGTAACTATGCTGCCTCTTTTGGCTGTAAAAACCAACTCCACCATTCATATCAGGAACAGATTAATTCCCCCCCCCCNCCCCCCCGAAATTTGGCCTACATAATCTAACCTAGAGTTTTTGAGAATTTTTGAAATTTCAGATCTCTACAACTTCTAAAATTAGTTATTGCAATTTAAAAAAAGAAAAAGTTACAATTGTACCTATTTTGTGGGATGATGGTAAATAATGTAGTTGCTGATATATCAGTTAGGAGCATAATTTCTAATATATGAATACCTTCTGCTGCAATAATGATGGTGGCCTCTTCAATAAGATTTAGATCCTTCTTGGTAATCTGATATTTACTGCCCGAAGAGTTTTCTAAAGACAAGAAAAAAAAAAGAGTACCTGTACTTGATGGTTAAAAAAAAGTGTCACTTTAAATACAAAAATGTGAACACTATTTCTTACAATACATGCAGTGAATCTAATTGACTATGTTCTTTCACACTTTGAATCTTGCTAGAAACAAAAATGATTTAGTAAATTTTATAACATTAAGGCATCCCAACTGTTCATGTAGAACATTTAAAATGAATTTTGAATTTATTATTAAAATGGATGTCATTTCAATCTCACCTTTCACTGGTGGATAATCACATGTCCAATCTAAAACTTTAAAATAAATTTTGCAACAATGTCGATGGGGAAGATAATCTTTGTTTCTCAACCAGTTTCTTTCAGCAAGCTCCATAAGGTTGAATGAATAATCTAAAGTAAACATGGAGGCAATCAAGAGATTTTTATGTTTCTTAGTCAGGTCGTTGTATGTGAAACATTACTTTACATTACTACTATGAAGACTACTAACAACATTATTAGCTGGAACAAAAATATATATTTGAAGTTATATTACATCATTTCTAAATGACAAACCTGGTGTATCTTATTTCTAAAACTAAATGGCTTTCTTAGTAGGGATCCTTTTGGGAAATAATTGTAAAATTTAATAATTTGCAAATGTTTTAGCGCTATCATTGAAGATGATAAACTATACTCACCAAATGTATCATTTAAAATAATTCAATATTTTACATTGCTAACAAAACATTACCACTACACACAACACAGCGTGCAAACATGGCTGCCACAATGCTAGTGATTCCAGTGCCCGAACCAAGGTCCAGGACATGCTTATCCTCCAGTTCTGTACAGTTATGAATAAGATAATCACACAGGAGCAGGGCACCAGACCAAACCTGGATTACACACAAAAATAATCATATATAATTTAATATAAGTTTATTAAGCACACAAGATCTTCTTGGATTACTGAACTAGCCTTAAGTGAATCATTACCGAATACTTGTTTTTACTTACTTGAAATCCAACTTCAGGCAGCATGGTTCCCATTTTGTGCTCTAATTATAAAATTAAAAATAATAATGTAAGCCCAATTACTAATATTTTTTTCAGAGATATGATAGTTTTACAATAAAATCATCAGCATCAGAAATAATAAAATTAAAAAATTAATAAAGACATACTTTAATTCAATAATGTTAAAAGTATTTATTCTTTGTGTGGTCTTTTATTTTTAGTCCATAACTACTAAAAAACAAAAAAACATGTTACCTATACTGATTTGAAATTTGTCAATAGTGTGCATATCTCTTTCAGTTTTCTCAATTGAATTAGCACAAGTTACATCTCTTGTGAAATACACATTAGAGTCTGCAACAAAATCCTTATACTCTGTCTGAATTCTAAAGGGCTCGGTAGGCTCAATTGAATGACATTGTTTGACTGTAAATAATTCATCCTCAATTTGGGATACATCTGAAACATCGTAGGCAGCTTGTAATTGAGAGGAATGAGAAGTAACTTCTTTCTGTGATAGAATGGGATCACATGGTTCTTTAGTAAATGATGTTTTTTTGAGATCAGGGTGTAATGTTTTATTTTTTTTATTTCTTCGTGGTAGAATATGATCACCATCCTCATCCAACAAAAGTGTCTCTTTGGTAAATTTTCTTTTTTTCTCCAAAAATATAATTTGGGCTGGAGAGTAATTCAACCGATGACAAGGCAAACAAGAAATAGTTCCCTCTAAGTCTAAGGTTGCCTCTGATTTACTGAGGTGGAGATCAGTTTGTACATGAAAATAATATCTGGATACATCTGTTAAAATACATATTATTTTATGTATATTTATGTAATAGTAATGGTCAATACATTTCAATTATTAGTTATGTCTACTTATCAGAAATATGCCAGGAATTTAGGTCAGTCATCTACAGAGCAAATTTTATTGCTAAACATTGACATCCCGTTTAATATTAATTTTTTTTTAAATTGCTAAACTCACTAATTCTGTGCACACTTGGTGAGAGGCATTCAATGTTCAACACAATGGGACACTAAAATAAGACTAAGTAGCTTTCTTAAGAAAAACAGCAAATTATCGAGCCATAGCTTATTAAGTTTTCCCCAATGTACCCCTTCATCCCCTCAAGTAATTCTAGTCGGGCCGTGAAGCGGCACATCGGGGGTATTCCGCCCATGAGTAAAGCCCACTTGCTTTCCTCAATGAAGCTGGTGGGACTGCTCTCACAGTACATGCAGTCGGATGGATGGATATATTTTAACGTCCCCCAAAACACCCCTTCCCATCCCGGGGTGGTGACAGACAGCCTCTAATAGGTGTTTCCATACATTACATGGTTTCTACTTTGTGATTAGGTCACATCATAGCTGGGATGACTAGGAGCAGTCCCCTCAAAGGCTGTATGATAAAAATCATTGACAAGGGTTTCAACAACCCACCCTTGCCTCATATCAATTAACAGCAACATCTAATCATATCCCAACCTGTTTCTGGCGTTATATTCTGCACTTGGTAGGTACCATGCGGCTGTGCTCTTTCTAACCCAGATTCTATGCATGACCTTTGTCTCTCACACGCAGGTCTCCTACATTCTACATGGTGATATTGTGCCTAGGATAGCATTTGGGGGTACTAAAATAAGACTACCATAACTTAAACAATAAGAGCTGAAAATAAAATTTGACCAATATCATAGTTTAGTTTATGTAGATAATATGCAAATGTACACTAAAACTAAATATATTTTATAGACATTCCCATTGATGCAAGCGAACTTATTTATTTTGTGTGGATGGATTGATACTATATTATATTTATACAACATGGGTCGGCAACCTTCTGGTTGAGAGAGCCAAACAAAACCAAAGTAACTTAATATAATAAGTTAATAAGCCTGTCAATCTACCATTTAATCCCGTGTGTTCTAGTTTTTCATAATTATTTTTCTGGTATTAATTTCACAATCACATGCCAATGGAAAATCTGCAATTGCAATCCTATTACTTATTACCATAGACTTTTTATTAATTTTAATTGAGAAAAAAAGAACCAAAAAGGAGAGTTGTGTTGTAAAATAAGTTGTACACTCACACAAGTTATAGTGACTCGTCGTACATACTACTACTACTACTACTACACTACTCATAACTCACATACACTGACAGACAGTGTTACACTGTCTATTACTTATTACTATTATGAATTATAATGCAGAATGATAATAAAATGAAAGTTTGCAATAATGCAATAATTCTTTCTGGTATTTTCTTACAAGTTTGTAATGAATGATTGTCATTATTGATATCTCTTGCATGCGATTCTGAGACATGAACGTCAGAGAGTACACAGTCTTGTGCCAATGCTGCCATATTTCAAGGGAAACTTATTCTCAGTAAACAAAATCTTGTTAAGGAAACGTGACTGATTCCCCTTGGTCCACAGAACAGAAAAAGTAGACACCAGAAAGGGGCGGAGCTAAAAAAATAAAACCCACGCACATTCCTGGGGCAACCCCTTTGGTTACTGGACGGTTGACTTTCTAGTGATGTCATTGCAAAAGTACCGTGTGCAGAAATCAATTTTCGGGTTCCCACCTAGTGTGTTTTATTTTGAGGAATTTGTGTCGAGTTGCTTTAACTGCTGAGGAAGTTTCATTTGTTAGTATCAGTATCTTATGTTCGTTGATTTGTTTCGCACTACGGATAAAAGGACACCATGAGTAACGTGGAATATAAGCCAGCCGAGAAACTACAAATTCGTTTGATTAGACCAGATGCTAACTCACCCTGGGGATTCCGATTGCAGGGCGGCATCGACTTTAACACTCCTCTATCTATCCAATCGGTAAGTAGCTCTACCTGACCGTGCCTGACGCTACTTAATAACGTGTGAGCTTCACCGGCATTTTTTGTAAAAGTAAAGGGCACTTCTTTAATATGAGACCGGATAGATACACATTTTGAATGACTCAATTGTATTTAATTAAGTATTTATTTTCTATTATACTCATAATCATATGAATATGTTTATACAAGTAAGCCCCCTTATATTATACTCAGTTTTCTTTTTGCCTATGCCTTACGAAAACGTTGATTTGCGTCAAATTCCATTTAGACATTATTCATTAAATGTGGCACTGGGTATTGTAATCATTAACATGCAACAGCTGAACTAAGCCATAAATTCCCTTGAACATAATGCAACGACTGACATCGTCTAATGAAAACTGTATGAGTGGTATTTAAGTGTTACGTTTTGTTATAGTTTACTTAAGTTGCACATGACACATGATGCATTATTGGGGCATCATATATTTACTCTTCCTTATGACGTTACTTGACATTCCTCAAACATCTTCCCACTCGTGATCTCCCATCATCCACACGAATGTCTTGCCCCACACCCCCCCCCTCCCTTTTAGGTGAATCGCGCGACATCATCATTCATTAATGATGTTTTATTTTATATTTTTATCCCACTACTAATGACATGAGTCTGTGACACTCGCTCTCATTCCTTTCCACCAAATCATTGTAAACAGTGCCCCCCACCCACTTCCTTCACATATTTATTGGTCACATTTCTACTCGCCGTTGTCCACTGGTACTGCAAGCTTTTGCAAACATTCTAATGTCCCCGCCTACAACCAGACACAGAGAAAGAAAATTAAATGCCCTGGCTGCACCCATCTTAAAAAAACAACAAAAATTGTACATACTTCGGGTCTGAAGCACTCTGGGACCCTTGTCAAAAATGAACGACTTAATGATAATGGTATTTCCTCCTGCATTGTTTTAAGGTCATCTTATCCCCCCCCCCCCACCAGGTGGGGATTTGCCCACGCCATGTGTTATTGTGACAGGACTATGATTGATAAGAAAGTATTGGGGGGGGGGAGGGAATGTCTATTTAAAAAAAGGGGATTTTTGTGGGGGGGTGGGGTAGAAATATTACTTTTAACCTCCGGGTAGCTATACCCGAATGCCACTTCTAGAGTACTCAGACTTAAGGTACAAAACATCATTTTGTAGAATATTAGCATTGTTGTGTGTATGTCTTCTGTCTTCTCCTCTAATCTCACCCCCTCTGTTCTCTCCCTATTTCTCTATGTGTTAAAAAAACAACGTACAACATTTATTGTCAATAATGACCACACCGCTGTGTCATTTCACCAGGTCTATGTAATTTTGTCTCAACATGTAAAACATTATACAATTATTTCTATCCATGCACTCGTTTAAAACATGCTTCATTACACGTCTTTACTTAACCCCAGTAGCATTGTAGTTAAAACATGTTCATTTAATGTAATACCCATTTGTCATTATAAATATGTTTTTTTCCCCCGCTGGTTCCTTTATGTGAAACTGGATCCCTCCGTTGTAAAGGAAACATCTCCTAATAGCTCACCAATAAGGAGCCATTCATTCCGAGTCTGTTTTAAGAGGAAAAAAAAAACTTTTTTTTTTTTCTCTTTTGGTTCGAGAGCTTGTTGAGTGAATGACGGCTGATACACAGTTCAAGACAGTCTGGCGGGCATGACGCATGCCGGCGGCGATCACACCCCCCGCCCCCCCCCCTTTTAACCCCTATTGAATAGAGTGACCCTCCCAAAGTGAGGCGTGTCAACATAACAGTTTATAGGGCGTGTCAAAATATTGGTGATTATTAAGGTCTCTCTTTCCTCTTCATATTCCCCCCCTCCCACCCAGTCACCTAATCTCTGGTTACCTCCGCCGCCCACTCTATCCCTCACTCCGACCCCATTCCCCCCCCCTTGTTCCCTCTATCCATCACACTATTTCTCCCCCCCCCCTGCTCCCCCTCTTATAACTCTCTCTCTCTCTCTCTACCATCCTGTCATCTCTTAATTTCTCTCCACGTCTCTGTTTCTCTCCCCCCTCCTCCCCCCCCCCCTGTTCTCTCTTTGGCTGTATGTTATTTATCATCATATGAACAAGTGAAATAAATTGACTCTAAGTTTTGACGATCGTGTACGCACTTGTTCATTGTATTCAGCAATAACCCAACACGTGTACGAAGGGCCGTGCACACGACAAGACAATCGAGTAAATCACTTGGGGCCCTGCCCGCTTAGGCCCCTGCCCGCTTAGGCCCCTGCCCGATTGGGCCCCTGCCCGATTGGGCCCCTGCCCGCTTAGGCCCCCCCTCCCCGGGGGTGGAAGATTATACGTTTGATACATTTATTTTGAAATTTCTGGGGGCCCTAAATTTGGATTTTCTCTGGCCCCCAATATCCTGTGTGTACGAACTGAATCATAGTCCACTAGGTCTGCATCTACTACTTGAAAATGTCATCTGGAGAAGTCATTGACAGATACACCTTAAAAATGTCGCCTGGTGATGTCATTGGCTAACTTTCTTCAGTAGAGTTGTCCATAATTTGTCCAAAGCCTCAGCCGAGGGATTATCTCCCCTCCCGCAAGTGGTGTGTCCCTTTCTTCCAGACAGAGTTATTTCCCTTGAAATGCTTTCCTTCACATATGCTAATCATAATCTGGGGCAAAGTTTGGCTCCGTTTCATACAGAATAAAATATGAGCCCACGAGCCCCGTGTCACAAAATACAAGTCTACACAACCGCCAGTTTATCTCTGGTAACAGTTTATCACTTGTAACAGTTTATCGCTGGCAACAGTTTATCGCTGGCAACAGTTTATCACTGGCACCAGTTTATCGCTGACAACAGTTTATCACTGGTAACAGCTTATCACTGGCAACAGTTTATCGCTGGCAACAGTTTATCGCTGGCAACAGTTTATCACTGGCAACAGTTTATCACTGGCAACAGTTTATCACTGGCAACAGTTTATCACTGGCAACAGTTTATCGCTGGCAACAGTTTATCACTGGCAACAGTTTATCACTGGCAACAGTTTATCACTGGCAACAGTTTATCGCTGGCAACAGCCCGCTGCACTAATTTCATTAGTTTTATACCGTGTAAATTATAACTATAATTCTAGACTCTATTACAACCATTACCCACAAAATATAGTGCATGGTTTACGTCGACGTTACATCATCGAATTGAAAGGAAGAAAAGCAGAGACTATAACCGCATTTCAAGTCAACATGGTTTAAATGGTTTATTGAATCCATTGATACTGAAAATCCAGATACAAAAATAAAAAGTACACCTTTTTTTTTTTATCAATAAAATAGATTAAGGATATCCTCATTATGGATCAAAATGATTTCTTTGAACACATTTTAATCGCAGATTTTGTTTAAACAAGGACATCACCATTGGGGCCCTTTTTAATATCAGAGCAATTCGGAAGCCGTTTTTTTGGGTTCAATAATTAATTTCTCTGCTTGGCTTTTTTTTCCCATCAGAGTGAACAGCCCTAGGTCGCAAAGTTCGGCTGTTGCAAAAAGGAAGCAACTTTTGGACTGCCTCCCCAGCGAGTCATTCTTAAATCCTTTGCCTATCTTGTGGGGTTTGAAGCAGCGTCGCTAGGGGGGGCAGGCTGGGCGCGGACCGCACCTGTTGGCACCCTCACAGGGGGGATAAACCCTCACGGTGGGATGACACCCTCACATGCGGATGACACTTAATGGAAAATAGTTAAATTGACGTTATCCATCTAAAAACAAAAGGTGTGTGGTCACGAATCAGTGAGGTTGTGTGATGAGGGTTTCTCCACATTGTGCCACATTTTGGACGAGGGGGCGGGGCGTAAAGTGGGCAAAAATAGCGTGACGTTATTTATGGACCCCCCCCCCTTCCTCCCCTGTCGCTGAGCCGGTCAATGAACACGGGCAAAAAAGATTTTTTTGTTCATTGACAACACTAAAAATACTGCCCAGTGGCCTGTCTGAAAAGAAAATAGAAAAAAAATAAATAAATTGAGAACCTCTGGTCTATTTCAATAATTTAGGTTCATCAAAATCTAATACAGCGGCATGTCAATATTATTTATGAGATCTACCCGACTGGCAAAGTAGTTTATTATGTAGACCCCCTCAAGTCTTGATGACTGGCTATAAAACAGGGGTTAACTTCTTGCGGAAGGGTCACGGCTCAACATGTTCGCACCTTCTTATCTACAACAGCACCACGGCTAAGTGTTGAAGCTAACGTTAAAACAGCTTACTTCAGATGGGCTGGAGTGGCTCTCCACCGCATACATCAACACCCAGAGCTCCCATCTTTGTAGAATTCCTATCCATCCTCTGCCATCCTATATGCCAATATTAGCATAAAGGCTCACTACCTTATAATAGCACGGCTGTATCGGGGAGCTTCGACCAACATCTTAAACTTAAAAAAAAAATAAAAAAATATTTTGTATGTGTGTGTATGAGATTGGATTGGAAGACTATTTGATATCTTTCCGTACACTTTATGGATTTGGATGTTGGTGTCGT